ATTTTGAGGACTCCTGCGTTTCAAGACTGTTTCGGCTAGAGTTAATTATGCCTGCAGGCGTCTGTGGGGGTTCTTTCCTTACACCGTTTTCTTATAGTCAATATGTATAGCAGGCAAGCAGCAAGTCTGCGCATGAACCTGATTTGTGAGACAATGTGCACTTTACATACTCAAAACCTGACTAAACTCTGCGCTGTAAAACCCCTTACTCGCTCTGAACAGCAGCTCTATTTTGCATACAATTACTTCGCTCCATGTCTTTCGGACTTGCGTCGAAGAAGGAGAATTTCTGGGCCCAGCGGCAGTAGGGCAAACAACGATCGATTTACTTTTGTTAATTCGGTGCTTTTTTCGAATATCATAAAGGCTCAGTTACACCCCCAGAAGATAGGCTTTCCAGTTTGAATAGCGAGACTGCAATGACTTAAAATTTCAGGACATTTGCCCGACCATCACCTACAGTGAGTGACCAAACTCATGAAACTTTGGCTGAAATTCTGAAATGCGTTTTCGATTAGGAAGGATTACTTGGTTGCGTTTGTAATACTGATTATTTTGCGACATACTCTTATAATATTTCGGACTCGGCAGGGTGTCGGCTTTTAAATACACTTCTTTTTAATCTCCTATAGAAAGCGTGTTCGGTAAAAAATGGCTACTTAAGTAGCATGCATTTTTCCCATTGATTTTCGATGGTCTTGCAAATTCGAATATATTTTATAGAAGCCATAAACAAAAATATGCTTTCTTTTATTCAATCAATAGAGAATCAAGTCTTCTTCATATTTTATGGTTAAGGAAGGAGTATAATTAGGTTTTAAAAAAGTTTCTAATTATGAGACTTTTTAAGACAGCGAAATGTCCATTCACATAGCATCGTACCTGGCCGTTTACCACTGCTCCTCATGAAATGTTAAACATTGTCCGCATCCATTGCAAAATTTTATGAACTCTATATAATGTCTGTTTAAGGGCATAGAAGAATATTTGATTTTCTTTACGCGGAACGCATGCACCTTGTAGAGTGAAATGACTAAGCGCTAATGCAACGAATGATCAGGCTCCAAATTATTCGGCAATTAGAAAACTTTTTTAAAACCTAATTATACTCCTTCCTTAAGTATAAAATATAAATAAGACGTGATTCTCTATTAATTGATTAAAAGAAAGCATACTTTTGTTTGTGGTTTCTATGAAATATATTTGAATTTCCAAGACCATCGAAAATCAATGGGAAAAATGCATGCTACTTATGCAGTGATTTTTTACCATGCACGCTTTCTACAGGAGATTGAAAAGAAGTGCATTTTAAAGCCGACATCCTGCCAAGTCTAAAATGTTATAAGAGTATGCCTTAAGATAATCAGTATCACAACCGCGACCAAGTAATCCTTCCTAATCGAAAACGCATTTCAGAATTTTAGCCAACATTTCATGAGATAGGTTACGCACTGTATACTCTTTGTGCCAGAAACGCTCTGTAGAGGCTGCTCTGATAGTAGCTGCCACTGCGATTGGCAGCTATGGGGTGGGCCGACAAGTTGAATTCGATGACTCAGACATGCACGTTCGGCTGCCAGCGGAGGAGCAGGTGACAGTCAGAGCTGGAGAGCCTCCGTAAAACGCCTCCTATAGCATGAAACGAATACAGTCATATGCGTCGGTCCATGACTCTTAATCACCTGTTTTTTCACGTTCGTCATGCTAAGCCCTTCACCACCGCCTCACTGGCAGAGGCCTCGGTGTGCTGTCATCGACTGCAGACCTAAGCCAGCCTCCTATTTCATACACTTGCCTGCCAAGTCACGCTACTGTTGTTTTCTTACTTAATTAGTGTCTCGGCTCGATGCTGATGTAATGGCTGTGCCACCTAGTGGCAAGTTACTGCTCTGTGCGATACACAGACGCTTAACAGACCTGCGTGTGTGTGTGTGTGCACGCCTGGAGGCCGACTTCACTCTGAACGGAAAGTCGACTTCCAGGGAGGGAAAGAAGGGAGCCTGTGGACACTAGGACAGGATTTCTAGCAGATCCCCGGATTTCACGCAGCCTGAACTGAGTGGCAGCCGTCGGCAGAAACTCTAGGGAGAACTAGTAATGCGTGTGCTTGGCCTAGTGTTGTTCCACAATAATTTAGTGAATATAAAATCCTACCTAGGAGTGGGAATAATTTTCTGGCAGAGTACTGTGATATAACATAGCAGAAGGGCCTTTAAAAGGAAAGATAAACCCGCACACACTGTTTGAAATACCCCAGTGGGCAAATGGACGTCTGTGACGAGTGTCGACGGAATCACCCATCCTTGACTCTGATTATTTATTTTAAGTTTACCAGGTCGTTAAGGCACTTAACTGAGCTTACCTCTCCTATTCCTTCAAACATGACAATGAAAACCAACAATAAAACTTAAAAAACCCTCGTTTTTAATTGCTTCTTTCGGGTACATTTGATACAGATTCTGAATGTCATGCTGTCAAATTGTGCAAAGATGTTACTGCAGTCTTCCCTTACTTCGAGAGATGCTAAAGACCTCATGCGGCTCTTGCCAATATTTCATCTGTCAGACTTTGTAATGTTGCTAGAATTCTTTCTATAATTCAAATAAGACGAATGAGGCAAATTTTCTCGGTTATTCTGTCGAATTCTGTAATATTTTTTAACGTTAACATAAAAATCTCCCGTTATTCAGCAGCTGGCTTCCAGTTACTATAATTATTTGCGAAATTCCGCGGCTTGATTCAGTCACTGGTTTACTATCTGACGTCCGGACCCTGTCGGTAGACAGAAATACTTCCATTCTTGCCCCGCTGCCACGATCAGCTGGATGTTGACTAAAGTCTGTGATATTACCGACAAAGACAAGGGAGACTGGAATGGCCATTTCTGGCTTATTAGCCGTCGTCAGCCAGCCATACCCAAGCCCGAAGTGTGGAACACCCGAGCCTCGAACTCGCGACCTGTTGGTTTAGAAGTCAACGCCTCTACTCACCGGGCCACGAGCCCGTTGCCTTGTCGGTTTTCGATCGGGAATATACAGTGTTAGGGGGCGCTCACCGATCGTTCATACGGAACTCACTCGTTCCGTTGTGCCTTAAGGGCTCTCTCTCGAGCCCAACCAGCAGCCGCAGGTCGCGAGTTCGAGGCTCGGGTGTTCCACACTTCGGGCTTGGGTATGGCTGGCTGACGACGGCTAATAAGCCAGAAATGGCCATTCCAGTCTCCCTTGTCTTTGTCGGTAATATCATTCTGCCTATATATCATGCGCCGCTGTGCGGCTGCTGGTTGGGCTCGAGAGAGAGCCCTTAAGGCACAACGGAACGAGTGAGTTCCGTATGAACGATCGGTGAGCGCCCCCTAACACTAAAGTCTGTGTTCAGTTTAGATTATCAGACAGTTCGGTATGGTTTTGGACTCAGCTGCAATAGTGCTCACTTTAGACGGTCTTGTTTTCAAAATTTTTACAAACTGCTTAAGCGTTTAGGGCATACTAAATTTGCTTTTGAGAGAACGGTTTCTCTCAAATCAATATATTACCGGTCTGCGCACCCCGAGATTATCAGTCGCATCGTCTAAAAGTTGAACATTTTTTTCTGTTTTTCTGCACTCTCGTACAAACTAGCCCGTGAGCAGTTTTCTTTCATTACCCTTAGCCATATATATTTTCAGATGAAGAGTGGAAGGCGGTTTTTATCCACGATATGAGAGAAGTTTACAAGCTTTCGTTAACAGTAAGTATCTTTTATTGATATATGAGGCTTGCTAGTGTAAAAGTTGTTGATTTTTACTTTTGTTGGACCCCACAATAACGGGTGGTTAAAGTACAAATTTTCGTTCCTGCAAACATAGCAAGGCTTGCAACCAGCTGAGGTTCGTGTGGGACTCCGGCAAAAACATTTAGTGACTTTTAGCCTTCCTATTGACATTATTGTGGGATAGGGTCGCTGGTGTTTTCTACCGTGTAGTGTTTTACTGCAATAGACGCAAAACTGTCGGCATCCATTCTTCTGCCTTTCCGACCTAGTATTGTGGTATGGCCAGTTAGAAAGTTCCAAAAAGTCTCTCCGGTCTCTGCATTTGTAAATAATCTTCTCAAGAAGAAGGAGACACGATCACCGGGACAAGAGCTTTAAGACAGTTCGCGCTGTTATTCCATGCTTCCTTGTTCACTAAGAAATAAACAAGAGCTGATGATGGACGTTAAAAAACCTTATGCGAAATGTTCAGGAGACATTTTGTAAACCAAGCTGGCATTTTGCATTGATGGAAGTCGAACCGGAGAAAGAGCGGAGAGCATCTTTTGCACAAAAGTTGCATCGGTGCACCTAACTATCCTAGTCGCTATCATCCTCAGAACAAGTTTAGCACTTGTAATCTTCTCTAAGATTTTATCCAAAAGGACTGCTTACATAAGATCCTCTACCCGAAGAGCCTCACATGATTATCTTATCCTCACAAATAACAAAACACCTCCGGTTTATCTGTTGTTTACATGGTTACTCCAGTTACAGTCATGCGAATCCAGGTGCTTGATTCATTCCCATGCGGTTTTCCAACTTTTGAAACAGGATATCCAGGTGTATTTTCGGAGGAGGAACAGCAGCCGCGGACACCCTAGGCTTATGTAGTTGCTATGGTGTTGCCACGTGGCAAACTATGAGGGCCTCTTAGCAAAGGTTCTACAGCTAAACGTGGGATAAGATCTTCTACGTATGTAGGTTAACCTGCGGAATTTTAGGAATGACAATTGCTTGTGCCTAAGGCAAAACAATGCCTCTAGCACGCTGATTATTAACCTCGACTAGACGGCAGTCGTGAGTTGCAAAATCCCACCGAACGTTTTAGCTCTTATCAACTTTTTCCATAGTCCACTGATGTGCTGCATTTACCCGTTTTAAATGGCCCCACCACTAAGCATCAACCTAAATGAATCAATACTGATGTAAATTTGAATTAACTTGGCCATTTAAGCAACCTTCCTCTCCTTTCATGCCAGCCTGCAATGGCTTTTCCCGGGAGACACACAAACAGAGTGATCAGATGCCGAGGAAACAACTGGAATCTGATTGTGCCGTCTGTCTTCACGACTCCCGGACCAGAGCTGATCGCCCAACGTAAAGTATTTAAGGCAGCACGGTTCATCGAAAGAGCCTTGGCTGAGACCGACACCCGAAAGGAGAGACAGCGTTATCCCCCGCAGAAGCTGACGCCCACCATTCGCGGCGCAATCCTTCAGTGCGTGACCGAGGCGCGCAAGGATCCACGTATCCACTTCACAGGTTCCGAACTGAGCATCCTTTTTCATATATACTTTCATCTAACAAACTATCAGATTCGACCAATGACGGAGGAAGAACTGAAAGATTTCCTTGTCTCCACTCTTTCCCTGTCTGGGCAAAATCTGCTTGAAGGTCTCCACGGAGCCGCGAGGATGCTGCGTTATGGTCGGCCCTCCTTGAAATCTGATGGAATAACTGCATATGACTTTGTCCTTCTGCTCTCCTGCATGCTTCGCGGCTCCTTCACTGACCGAGCCACCATGTCCTTCTATGTCCTCGATCGCGACAGCGACGGTCGACTGCGCACTAACGTGGAGTTTGCGTATTTCCTCAGGGGTTCTTTGTGGAACGTGCAGGATGAGCCTGACGAATGTGAATTTGATGGGGACCATACGCAGCAAGCAGTCCAGTACTTGGCCTCGAAGGCTTCAATCAGCATCGGTGGCAGCATTGGGCTCGCCCGTTTTCTACAGCTCTGCTCCAAGCAGCCGTGGATGATAGACGCTATATTACCATGTATACCTAGAGACATCGACAATGTAACCTTCCAAAGCATCTTTACTGGCAACATAATGACTCCATATCACAGTGAAAGTCCTCGACACTCTAACACCCCAACAAGAAGATCGACGTCAACTTTTTCAAATAGGAGACAGTATGGCAAATAATTTCTGCTTGATAACTCATATTGGTCACAGTACTTGTTAATGCGCGATGCTAGAAACCATTGCTGTTTCTATATTTGTCAACTGAATAAAATTCAGTAAATATGATTCACATTTCTGCTGGAGGTTTTTGTGTACTAACTTCCGAAGTTGGAAGTTTGGACCTTAACAGCTGTAAAAGCCCTGGTTGCCAGACAACCAAGGTGATTCTTAAGCAGTGAGAAAGGATGAAATCATTGGCTAGTGGTTTAAGAGGTTAAGTAGGAAATTTGCCCAAAAGTTTCACGTTTATTTTGTGTACAAAAGCACTCGAGGCTCCAGTTTTACAATTTATATGAAGTTTTTGTGTCCAGAAGAGCAGTAAACCATTATTATAATCGGTGAACGCCTGGAGTATTACGTTGTGTTAAGGTATCTTATTGCGACTCGTCTGCAATTGTTATAATTAGGTGATTTGTCCTAATTATGGAAATGAAATTGGCATTTCGGCTTGACCTTGGGGAACCGGGTTTACGGTCCGTGCGGACGTTTACATAGCAACTGTCAACCGATAATCGAGAAACGTCACCAACAAAAAGGGACATTGTAATGGCAATTTCTGGCTTGCTGTGATCAGGTAAATAAACCCAGATTTCAGCCAGACCCCTGAAATTTATAACGAGTTGGTTGGCTGACAAGACTTTTGGGGCTAATTGGGGCTATTTGGATCGACTTATAGTCTCAAGATCTCCCTGTGTGACTTGAGTCATTCACAGGGCTAATCTCAGCAACGAATCCAAACATCTTAGCCAGTACTCTCCCATCACGGGGCTTCATTGCTTCTGTGGTGACCGCGTCCTTCAACAGAGTGACCTTGTGATACGCAGGAGTCATTTGGCTTTTTATTCGTCTTTGATACTTTAAATCAAAGAGCAAATGCTCTTATCGGCACCATTCTTAGTAAGCTCTAATTGTCCGTTCTGTGGTGTTTATTAGCCAAGTTGGTTACAAGAGCAGGGCAACAGTTGTAAGTCGTCGTGCGAAATCCGTTCTAGGTTGTCTCGCATATAATCGAGAAGACAAGAAATCCGACAAGACAGGGCCTGTCTGTTATACTATTCATACTACGACCCCTTCTGGAGCCGATATGGCCTAACTCCCCAATAGTAGATTGGATATTGAATATGTGAACTGACATTCTCTGTTAATGGATGGGAACCCGTGTTGCCTGCTAGAGCTTACACACTATGATCTAAGCAAGCACTTCCTAAATGTGCTTTTCCTCTCTTTCAATGTATTGCCTGTTCGTCTGAATTTAAGACACCTGAGTCCAGTGGAGGGACACCAAAAGCGCTCGTTACCTATGCAATATTGACGTGAATTGCAACTTTGGCAGAAGCAGTGTGGTACTCTTGTCTCACAAGACAGCGATTAAAAGGTTCATGGCGCGGAACATGTCCTCTCTCTATGGCTTCCTTATGTGGTCCAAGGGCATAATTACCAACCCAGGTGTAATCTTTTCTATGCGCCTGTGTCCGATGCAGAGAGAGATATCAAGGACGGAATCCGTTAATTTTTTCAGGAATTTCTGTCCCTCCCCCACACCCCTCTTTCCAGCTAAATTATTGCACTTGTATAGGAGTGGAATGTGCACATCAGCAAGCCTGACCCAACAGCCATCGTCAGGGAGTTTTTACTTTTTCTAAAAACAAAGGGATGTTTGTGACACATGCCGGGTCTCCGCGCCCAAAAAGCACATCCGAACCTGAAATTCAAATAACGAGGAAACCGCTACTCAGATCAACTGCCTTCTTGTGTGCTGGTCTTCGACTGTTGCCCAGGTCATGGGAAAGGAATAGGCAGCATGTATAGCTCAAAACACACGCTCGTGGGATTATGACTACTCTTATGCCTTAATGTGTTCACGACTATTATCCTGCAAAAAAGACACAATGTTGGCGAACTTAAGTGCTCTACTCCCCTGCATGAATGACGAATGCGGCTCATTCAGGACTGCCATCACCGATAATTCGCTTTACAACCTAGCTATCGACTGCTGCAACCAGTTGGTAAATGATGCAATGCACTGCCAAATTCAGAACGCGCTGTCTTCAGAAGCACGGTCAGCTCCAGTTAACTGAATTCGATATGGGAGAGTATGGCCTTAGAATTACAGACGGGTTCCACTGCTGACGACACAAGGAAGCTGTACCAGCTCTTCCAATGCCATCTAGAAGGCAATGTGCCAGTCAGCCAGACAGTCAACACAGAGGAAATCCTTCTTTTTACGTCACCCAACGAGCGAGTGCCGCAGTGGGACGAATGACTTTGAAAACTAATAGAAGAGAAGAGGCGAGTTCCAGGAAGTAGTCACGGAGAAGGAGACACGATCGCTGGAACAAGTGCTTTATTAGCCTGACGTGATAGGCATGTAGCGGCCTACCAACTACATCCTATAAATATCGCAACACCTGGGAAATCTACTACCCTTATCTGACTCTGTCTCTGATGATGGGCTCGAGCGAAACCCGAGACTTCAGGCCAATAAAACACTTGTCCCAGCGATCGCGTCTCCTTCTCCGCGACTACTTCCTGGAACTTGCTTCTTCGCTTTTGTTTACAAATTGTTTGGGAAAGACGCGCTCCGATCGGCCCGGCGATGGGAAACCTTCGCCCTTTGAGGGGCCTCTACGTATGCGCTGATCAGGTTTCTGAGCAGGTGTCTCGACAACAATGTGTTACCGGAGTGTGGTTAATACAAGCCTCCCGGTAAACACGGAGTTGGCGAGACGAACAGTATATTAGCATGGCAGAAGAATGATCCGAGTGTTCCATCAAGACTGCCACGCCAGGCTTTGCAAGTGGCGTCAGAGGAGTGACCAAGAGAAGACTAAATGTCATAAGTTCGTTGGCGATTTAGGTACAAATCTGCTCCCGCAGAGGATGTCTGAACGCGTCCGCAAACAGAGAGCGATACTTGACGCGGCAATGGGAAGCAAAGTCACAAAGTTGCCTAATCTCGCATCGTTCAAAGACGACAAACTGGTGCGCAACCTGTCGTCAAAGGACCTGACGAGGGATCAAATGCAGGTGTTGCAGCATGAAACTTCATACAACACAGCTGACGCCAAACCTGTCAACGTGGTTGCAGCCGTGGAATCGATCCCAAGTCAGACGGAAGCAGCCGACGACACCAAGAACCTTATCAGACACCAGATTTCTCTCCTTATGACTTACAGGCCGCGCGACGCGCTGTCCAAGGTCGAACGTGCTGCCCTAAGACATCGTCATCGTGTCTGCGAACAAGGGACGTTCCACGGTTGTTTTGGACCGGGCAGGCTGCCTTTAGAGGACTAAACGTTTACTGGAGGACCGTCAGTCCTATGCCCCTTGAGCGACCAACTCGTAAAAACACTGACACGATAAATCACTGCGACGATGTTGGCATTGGAAAACTCGGATGCAATATCGCAGGTTGACCGGCGCATGGCGAGAGCTCTGCACACGGCCTTGGCCCGCTTCTATGGCCTTGCCGAGGTGCAAATGAGGACGTCCCCCTCCGGCCCACCGTCTCACTCAAAGGTTCCCCAACAAACTAACTGGCAAAATGGTTATTTCGGCGCCTCAAATTTCTGACAGCAAATTGAGACACTACAGTCAGTTCGTCAACGCAGTTTTTGAAGAAAATTAAAGGGGTAAGCCTCCTGCCAAGCGACGTCATGGTATCCTTTGATGTCACGTCCTTTTTTACTTCTATTACGCAGGACCTGGCAGTCGAGACGATAGAACTACTCCCACGAGACAAATACGATGAGACGGGGAATCGCCTTGGACACGATCAAATCCCCAACTCCTGAACTTCTGCCTCAAGACGTATTTTACGTTCGAAGGAACAATCTACGAGCAGGTGAAGGGCATGCTAATGCGTTCGCCGATTTTAGGATTCATAGCCGAAGCGGTCCTACAACGGTTGCATTCGCTGGTTTTCCAACACCACAAACCGATATTCTGGGTTCGTTATGTGAATGATACCTTCGTCGTCATGGAACGGGACCAAGTGCTGGAATTTAAACAACACCTCAGAACCATCGTTCTGAAAGAGGGAAACAACCAGCTGGTCTTTCTTGATGTCATCGTCTGCCGTAAAGATTGTGGTGGCTTAAAAATCAGGGTATTCGGGAAAGCGACAAACACGACGCACGTACTGAGCTACAACAGCAGCCACCCAATCAGTCGTAAACGCAGTTGCATGAGGGCGCTATAGCAACGGGTGGAGACACACTGCAGTTAACCGGAAGGCAAGGTTGCTGTATTCCAATACCTTCGACGGCTGCTTAGTGTATGGCTGCCCGCGCAAGTTCGTAAACCAGTGCCTGCGTAAACGAGGCGAGGGACAAAACCCAACCGGCCCCGAATTTTGGCGTGCTGTTCCGTACGCGGAGGATGTCTTGGAAGCCTTCAGTCGCCTTCTTACGCCCCTTGGAATTGGAGTTGCACACAGACCGGAGGCAATCATAAGGCGCCAGATCTTGAGGCCGAAAGACCCACTGTCATGGCAGGAAACATCTGGAGTCCTTTATCGGACCTGCTGCAGTTGTGGGCAAAAAAACAATGTCGGAGAAACCGGAAGGATACTCCGGACGCGGTTGGCCGAGCACGCGGCAGCAGTGAGAAGGAACGGCGCCAACTCCCAAGTCACGGCTCTTTCGACGAGACCCAATCACACATTCAAGTTTGACGAAGCAGAAATTCTAGCTAGAGACGACAACCGCGTGAGCCGTGAACTGCTCGAGTCATGGTTTTCCGGTCCTTATTCAATTAACAAGCGCAACAATCTCCCCGCCGCATATTCGGCGATGAGACTAAGTCTAGGCAAAGTAGTTAGCCGCGAGGAGAATGTGAGGATAAACGCCGTCCCCCGTATCAATTTTGACCAGCCATATCACCGTAGAGTCCACATGGATGACGAAATCCGTAGTCAACCACTCGGCGGCGTGCGATGCGCGTGGGAGCCGGTTATCTTGACCCGCATACTGGCACACGGCAATTGCATGACAACAGCATACTTCAACACCTCCACAATCAAGCTGTTATGCACGCGGGAGCTGCCAACTGTGATAGGCATGTAGCGGCCTAGCAACTACATCTTATAAATATTGTAACACCTGGACAATCCACTATACTTATCTGACTGTCTCTGATGATGTATTTGAGCAAGAATCCGAAACGTCAGACTAATAAACCACTTGTTTTGGCGACCGTGTCCCCTCCTCCGCGACCGGGGGAACTGCCTAACCACACCCCCACCTCTGCATACTGCCATCGCAAAAACTCTGTAATATTGCGAAACATGCACCGCCGGCTTCCTCAGAAATATTGTTTGTAATCTAAAGTAGTCAAATCAAGTCGACAGCTGATGAAGACTGATTGCAAACTAAAGTTCGAAAGAAAATTTTGTGGACATACGTCTTTTTTCGATCAATTCTCTTCCTTCCTGTACATCTATACTGAAACTAAAATAATTAAAATATGCAGGCAAGCAAGAAATCATACTGAAGCTATGGTGTGGAAGGGAAAAAACAAAACTGCAATCAGTGGCATGCGATCAACGTCAAATTACATGCAGACGGCTGGCGTGGGGACTCTGGGCAATAATGATTGTAGGGTCAATTTGAAGTTCCTCTGTGTGCCGTAGTCAACGGACGCTGTCTACATGGTTTCGGATAGCTTGACGGGGCTTTGTAAATCACTGGGAAGGCCTCTTTGGCATCTACACAGAGCTCCGTGTCGGTCCTATGAACGAGGTTAGAGCTGACAAAGTTCTTTATCACGCTCATTTATGGCCATGTCGGAAGAGGTTATATTATTCTAATGGACAAACGCCGGCTTGTGCGACCAATATACTTATTCCCACAGGAGCGAATCGATGTTTCAGCTCTACTGAAGGTTATAAATCAGACGCACCTGTCGATCAAGTTTACGCTAGAAGCAACACAATCCGAACCTCTCTCTTTTCAGGACGCACTACTGAGAAAAATACCTGACGGCAGCAGTTGACGTAGCATAAATAGACGTGGTCCGAGCAATACACCAGTCTCAGCAGATCCGCACAATTAAGCCTGGAATGTAATCTAGTCCGCTGCTTGACAAAAGGGCGGGAAGTATCTGCTCGGCTGATAGCATTAAGAGGGACATCAAACTTGTCGAAAGTATTTTTTACCAGAACCGATATCCTGAGACTGGCTGCAGACACTCGATGCCCACGTCAGGAAAGAAAAAAACTACAGTGAGTGACCGATCTCATGAAATGTTGGCTGAAATTCTGAAATGCATTTTCGATTAGGAAGGATTACTAGGTCACGGATGTAATACTGATTACCTTAAGGCATACTCTTATAACATTTCGGGCTCGGCAGGATGTCGCCTTTTAAATGCACGTCTTCTCAATCTCCTGTAGAAAGCATACTCGGCAAAAACTGACTACTAATGTAGCATGTATTTTCCCATTGATTTTCGACGGTCTTGCTAATTCAAATATATTTTATTGAAGCCATAAACAAAAATATGTTTTCTTTTAGTCAATCAATAGAGAATCACGCCCTCTTTATATTTTATACTTAAGAAAGGAGTATAATTAGGCTTCAAAAAAGTTTCTTATTATGAACATTTTTAAGACCGCGAAATGTTCATTCACATAGTATCGTACCTTGCCGTTTACCACTGCTCCTCATGAAATGCACAACATGGTCCGCATCCATTGCAAAATTTTATGGACATGGCATAGAAAAATATGCGATTTTCGTTACGCGGAACGCATGCACCTTGTAAACTGAAATCACTAAGCGCTAGTGCAACATATGATCGGGCCCCAAATTATTCGGCAATTAGGAAACTTTTTTAAAACCTTATTATACTCCTACCTTAAGTATAAAATATAAAGAGGGCGTGATTCTCTATTGATTGACTAAAAGAAAACATATTTTGTTTATGGCTTCAATAAAATATATTTGAATTAGCAAGACCGTCGAAAATCAATGGGAAAATACATGCTACATTAGTAGTCAGTTTTTGCCGAGTATGCTTTCTACAGGAGATTGAGAAGACGTGCATTTAAAAGGCGACATCCTGCCGAGCCCGAAATGTTATAAGAGTATGCCTTAAGGTAATCAGTATTACATCCGTGACCTAGTAATCCTTCCTAATCGAAAATGCATTTCAGAATTTCAGCCAACATTTCATGAGATCGGTCACTCACTGTATTTATCAGGATCTCCTTTCAGGTGGGGCGTGCCGAGTGAACTTTTAGCACGGCGCTAAGGTCAAGCCGTTGACGCCTGGGTATTGGTCTCGACAGGTAGAGCTGAAACATCGATTCGCTCCTGTGGGAATAAGTATATTGGTCGCACAAGCCGGCGTTTGTCCATTAGAATAATATAACCT